AGGTTAATATATAGTAATCTTTAGTAATTTTATATTTTTATTAGTCACATTGCATTTTAGTGAGAGATCCCATCCCATCATGTGATGATTTTTAGGAATTTATTAAAGCTTCCTTTGTAGTTTACTATAAAATTTTTGTACTTGTTTTTGTATGCTAAAAACAAACCAGGAGTTTTCTCTTTATCTATAAATTACTTTTGTTCCAATACCTGTACCTGTGGCTTCAAATAAATTACTGATTTATCTGTTTTTTTAAATTGTAGTTCTGCCTGCTTTTTTGCTTTATGTACTTGGAAGTTATATGGAAGATAGTTTTATAATTACTATAGCTTATTTACATATTGTTTCTTTATCAGCATGTTACTCAAGCATTTGTGTCTTATGATTTTTTTCTATAGTTTTTTTTTCTGATATTGAAATTATTATCCTGGATTTTTTCAGACACATTTCTCTGATATGCATTTTTCTGTCTTTTTCTCCAAAATTCTTTGCAAAATGTTTTTAAAAAGTGTTTAGTTGAAAACATATTGTTAAGTCTTAATATTTGTTAACATCTAGTTGGAGAATCTCTTTATTTTGCTATGTGAATTTAACCTTTGCATTTATATTAAGTTGTTTATTTTGTTTTTTTTGTTCTGTTTTTTTTAAGTTGTTTGTTTTGTTTTGTTTTTAACACAGGTCTTGAACTCATGATCATGAGATTAAGATCTGAGCTGAGATCAAGAGTCAGACACTTAACTGACTGAACCACCCAGGCGCCCCACATTTATTGTAATTACGGTAATATTGAAAGCTATTTTTGCGTTCTTTCTGTGCTTCTTATGTATTATATTTTCTTTTTTTTTTATTTTTCTCCTTTCCCACATCCTATTTGATGAATCAGTATTTTTTAGTTCTGGTTTGAAAGTTATTTACTCCATTTTTATTCCTTCATGCTATCTTTAGCTCATATGTGTTTTGGTTTTCTCATCAGTTTCTATAACAGGACTTCTCTTCCCCTGGACTTGCCCTGCCCACGTTTTCCTGGTGACTTGCTTCTCCCTACACTAGGAACTGTGTATCACCCAGGGTTTTAAGTCCAAGTCATGAATAGACACTTTGGAGGTGTGGGGTCACGGCTAGTTTAGACAAAAATATGCTTTTCTAAGTTATTTATTCACTCTTAGCACTGTTCTTGCCTTAGTCACTTTCTCCTTTGTACCAACAGTATCCATTAACATCTACTTATCATCGTTAAGGAAAATCTGCATAAAGAACTCCTCAACTGGTCCTCCAAGTTCTTTTTTTTTTTTAAGATTTTATTTATTTATTTGACAGAGAGCGAGAGAGGGAGGGAGAAAGAGCACAAGCAGGGGAAGTGGCAGACTGAGGGAGAGGGAGAAACAGGCTCCCCATTGAGCAGAGATCCCTGCATGGGGCTCCATCCCAGGACTCTGGAATCATGACCTGAGCCAAAGGCAGAGGCTTAACTGACTGAGCCACCCAGGTGCCCCTCAAGTTCTTAAAAACAGGGATTTTGTGCTTTATGTATTGTTGTGTCACCCAAGGTATTATGTGAAATATACTGGATACTGATAGATATTTTTCAACTGATTCTTAGATGAATGAACATTCCTCAGGTCACTTAGAACACTCCTGACCCTTGACAGACATCATGGAACATTCACTGAATTTAAGAAAGTTGGATCATGACAGGCCATTAAAAGCTTTGCCTTTAAATTATGTGCCTTTATTCCTTGTTTTCTGCACTTCTCAAACCAATTTGTTTTCTTTTTCCCCTTTGCAGTCAAATCTCAATCAAGACGCTAGGTGCCTTATAGCTCTTGCTTTCCAGCAGGTTAACTTGTTTTCCAGCAGGTTAACTTGTCATTTTAAGCCATAATTTAAAAAAAGAAAGAAAAAAGAAAGAAAGAGAGTGCGTGATTGCTCAAAGAGTTTACGAAAAATACCTTGAAGAATTTGACTTCAGTAGCTTCTACTTTGACAAGATTTTCTTAGCATCTGCTAAAGATGTTTGATAAACAGTATCTCTGTTGCAAGCTCAATTAATTTTTAATAACAGAGCAGGAAGTCTATAATGACTGAAATATGAAAGGGACGAGTGAAGCAATCTATTCATTCCTGATAAAGAAAATTAGAAAAAAGTCTGAGGAGGCAAGAGTGGGCAAGAGGCCCTGTTTTCCCATGTTGAGTGTTTGATTGATTTGGAAATGTTCTGGGAAAGGCAGAAACAATGAAAGGTCTAGTTATGTCAGCATTTTGTCTTGCAAAATAGCCCAGTATGCTTTCCTTATTCTAGAAAAGAAGTCTGGTGACCCAGTTATCCCTCAGACACTATACTCTTTCCCATCTTTCTTTAGTAACTAACAGGCAAGAATTACCAACATGGAGTAATAGATTTTACTCACTGCTCCCACTTTCTCATCATACACTTAAAAATTTTTTTGGAGTCCACAGTCTCTCATGGTCCATCTCCCCCTCCGATGTCCCGCCCTTCAAAAAAAAATGTTGGGGGGGACTCCAGATTTGACCCTCATCATTCTAATCACATTTGTCTTTGCTATCGATAACAATGGCACTTTATTCAATTACCTTAAAAAAATTTTTTTGGTAGCATTTGATACTGTTAAAGAGATCTCAGCAGTTTCTTTTGAGATTGAATGATATTGATTTTAATTTGCTATCTATGACCATCCCTTGACTGGAAACCTTCCAACAATCTCTAAATGCAGGCATTTCTAAAGGGTCTGTTGTTTCCCTCTACATCCTTTCCTTCAGAAATGTTATCTTATTGTTTGAAACACTTCCTTTATGGCTTTTAATAGTGTATCCCCAGGTCTAACTCCTCCTTTTGGTTTTATACCTAAATTCCCCAAAACATGAATATATTAAGATGGGATTTATCAATACTCCCTTTCACATTACTTCTCATCCTATGTTTTCTTTCTCTGTTAGTATTTCCAGTATGATTCTATTTGCCTAAGCTTTGAACTCATCTGCTCCCAGAGGCTTCACATCCATTTTGGATTGAAACAAATTAAGTGTGGTAGGTTCTGCCATCCCAAAGTATGTCCCTTTTGCATAAGGATTATTTTGAGCTACAGGCATTTGAAAAACAGCAAATGCCAGAAGGGCACTTTAATCTCTCCCTTTTTTTTTTTTCTTTCTGAAAACAGGAGTGTTCCTATACCAGGAAAAAAGAAACATCTTCAATGGGGAATCGAAGCCAAGAGAATTCTGTACAGACCTTGTTAAAATAATCCTTTATCTTCCTTTAGGTTCCTTCCCTGCATAGTTTACCTGCCTTTTCACAATTGCTTCTTCTTGTCCAAACTGGTATAAAAACATTTAGGTTTTGTTATTTCTCAGAGTCTTCATTTCATTATGAGGGATCCCATGTTACATAAAACTTACATTAAATAAATGTGTATTCTTTCTCCTGTTAACTTGTTTTATGTCTGTTCAATTCTCAAGGGTAAGAGGGTAAGATACAGTTCTGCCTCCTCTACGGTATCATTTTTCTACCTTCCACACCATTCCCCTTTGTCCCTACTGCTACTCCTTATTTTGGAATATTATGAAACCTTCTTAAATAACCTTGGTTCATTTGGCTGAAAGAATCTTTAAAGAAGATTCATTCTCTTGCTCCTAAATCTTGAACAATTCCTCCCTGCCTAGTGGATAACATCCACCATGTCTGGTTTAGTAATGAGGGCAACTGTTTGTCTTCGACTATTTTGCACATGATTTTTTTTTCTTGATACCCTTCTATGTACCTAATTTTGCAACCAAGATACAGAATCAGCCTGTCCTCAAAATGCCTTCATGGTATAGCTCAAAAAAAAAAAAAAAATCTCCACTGCTGAGAATCTTTTCTTGCCCCACCCCATTTATATTTCTAAATAGTTCCCCCAACTAAAATTACATTCTTTTATTTTCCTTTCCTTTGCTCAGTACTTTATCCATGTGTACGCTTAACATTTAAGAACTACTTATAAAAGTAATGCATTTAAATTTAACAAGAAGGGGTTATTAGCGTTAAAAGGTATTTCCCCTTTCTTACTTGAAGGGAAACCAAATGTAGAGGAATGGCCGCATTCCCCCATGAAGTAGGCTCGCCATCTAGCGACAGATCCTCTACATTACAAACCTTGCCTCGGAGACCTACCTTCCAATTTTCCTCAAGGAACATGTCAGACTTTTTTTTTTTCCTGATATAACACAGTACTACAAGAAAAAGATTGCATAATGCTTACTTTTTATGCCGTTAAACACTGAAAATCAATTAAGTTTGGGTTGATTGTATAGATAAGGTCAAAGAAACAGAAAGACCTGAAATTTTTATGTTAACATTAATCAGTGATGCATGTGGATCCACTTTGAAATCTAAAGTTAAAGGAATGCTTGTAAGCTTGGATAAATCTCTGATCAAGTGTGAGAAATTTCTCTTCTCCTGAGATAACACGCATAACATCTCCAGCAGAGCACGCTCTCAATAAACTTTTGCAAAACGGCGCAAAGTAAGCATAAACTTTGGAACCAGGAGATTTGTTGTCACCACCTCCATAAATTGGAGCACAATACTCAAGCACTCAAAATGACCATTTTGACGTGTGGAAATATGGGGACAGCAATATCTTTTTTGTGAGTATTGAAAATAACATACAAAATGCTTGGTCTGTAGCAGGTACCCAAAGAGAAAATGGCGGCTTGATATTAATGATTATTATCTTTTTTACCTTTGGTAACTTGTATAGAGATACATAGCTGTTTGTCAAGCATAAAAACTGTTATTGTTAGGTCCTCAACTTATTTATTATAGTATAGACTGCATGTGTTAAAAGAGACTACTTTCATTACGTGGTGATAGATAACATGACTATTTAGTAAATATCTGACAAAAAATATTACATAATTATAAATTATCTACATAATCCATTAAAATTTATATTGACTATGCTTTTTAAAGTGTTCAGAAAAAGTAAGTTGTCCATACTTACAACTTTCCAGTTGCATTATACATGTTTGTACATCCATTGGAAAATTCTTGAGATCCATTGGACAAGAAAGTGTTAATGTCAATCTGAAAGAATTCAAAGTAATTATTATTTTTCTTATTATGTTATGTTAATCACCATACATTACATCATTAGTTTTTGATGTAGTGTTCCATGATTCATTGTTTGCATATAACACCCAGTGCTCCATTCAGTACGTGCCCTCTTTAATACCCATCACCAGGCTAACCCATCCCCCCACCCCCCTCCCCTCTAGAACCCTCAGTTTGTTTCTGAGAGTTCATAGTCTCTCATGGATCATCTCCCCCTCTGATTTGCCCCCCTTCATTCTTCCCCTCCTGCTATCTTCTTTTTTTTTTTAACATAAAATGTATTATTTGTTTCAGAGGTACAGGTCTGTGATTCAACAGTCTTACACAAACTAATTATTTTTAAAAGTAATTTATGATATCATATGAATATTCTGTTGTTCAGGGTACAACTGGGAAACAAGCTTTGGCTAGTGACTAACAACTCTTCGAATAAAATTTGCTCCAGCTTGAGTATGTTATTTACTGTGAAACAGCTGTACCTTTATATATAAATCTGTTTTTCGGGGAAGAAAAAAGCTGTATATTTAAGCATCCAATCACATTTATTTATTTTGCTCAATTATTAATTCCTTTACAGAGGACTGTAGATGTCTACAAAAGGTCTATATTTCCAGAAAAGACCCTCACAAAGAAATTTGAGAGTGGGTTCCATAAAATTAACACCAAATGACAAAGGGCACAGTTCCCCAAGATCACATGTACAGCATGTTTGAGGAGGCAAGTATATCCATGGAATTGGAAAAAAAAGGGTGTAAGAAGGAATCTGTGCGACAACTTTCAGTCATCTTTGAAACATTGAAGAAGTTATCAGTGAATATCCAGCAGTAATATCAGAGGAAAAAAAACCTGAATCTGGAGGAGTTGAAAATTCTAGCTATTAGAGTGGGGTCCTCTGCTGTAGGACTAGGGCATTTAATCAGATTTTACCAGGATCAAGAAATAGCCTTCTAGAATCTGTGTGACATAATCCTATGCTTACCAAACAAACTTCTAATTTGGCTCACACAAAGTAGGATGACCTGGATGGTGTACACCAGCATTCTGCCCATTTTCCCCTTCCAGGAAATATTAGTATGTTGGCATTCCAGATAATTCATAACTCATGAAAATATATTTTTTATTGGAAAACATGATCTTGAAAGATTAGCAAGAATTTGTAGTTCTTGGACCAAGGAAAAAGAGGCCCAGGTCGAAACAAATCCAAGTTTATTCAAATAAAGTTCTTACTGAGAACTCTCTAGCCAGTCCCTTTACTTAAAGTATTCCCGTTGAAATTCAGCATATCAGTGAGCACCTTAGGTGGGTTTTTTTACTTAAACTTTGTAGCCGTAGGTAGATTACTTTACTTTACTATATTTCAGGGTTCTCATCTCCAAAATGAATGTAATCATAGTACTTGCTCTGGAGAAATGTTGTGAACAATACATGAGTTAATTCATGTAAAGTGCTTAGACAAGTATCTGACACATAGTAAACACTCAATAAATATTAGTTATTAAGGACTACTAGTATTCTACCACCTCCAGACTCCTCCATCTTCCCCATCCCTCAGTTAAATAAGAAAAGCACAAAGATGCCTGAATTAATCAAATATAAAGTCAGGGTACCTAGGTGGCTCAATTGGTTAAGCGTCAAACTCTTGGCTTTCATTCAGGTCATGATCTCATGAGTAGTGGAATTGAACCCAGTGTCCGACTCCCCACCCAGCGGGGAGTCTGCTTGAAGATTCCCCCCCCTCACCTGCCCCCCCATGCTCTCTCTCTCCCTCTCTCTCTAAATGAATAAATCTTAAAAAAATTTTAAATCACATATAAAACTTATTTAAGCTTTAACAAAAAAATAATCAGCAGCACTACCAAATGTACCCACATTCTCCAAAATGGCATTTTCATGTAGACCATAGACATAAAGTTATAATAATGCATGTTCTACAGTGACTACAATTAACATAATTTGAGAGATATAAACAGACAGACATGTAAAGCTGTTGAATTTTTTAGAGTCCCAGGAGAATCATTTGACAGCTCCTTCAAGTCAGAGTCCATAACACACTAAAATAATTCATAAGGTTCATTCTTCAAGAGCAATTTTCTCCTGGTTCAGCTAGGTTAAGTGATCCTGTATGATCTTGTAGATTTACAAAATTCTCTCTGGAAAAAGGCAACTGTAAAATGAGGTGGACACAATGTTCTCTGTCTTGTGAAAGGGTTCATTAGAAGTTGTATGCACAAGTATATTTTGAACATACGCACATTAATTTTCCAAACATCCAAGGCTCTCGGGACAGCCAGTTTCAAATGTTGGCTTGGAGAATTAATTCTGTGACCTTTTGTATGAAAGTGAATAGCATTCTCAGAATCTTTTCCAAGCTCTCACCATGCATGTGATGTCAAATTCATATCCTGGCTATTTTTCTGGCATAAAATGAGAGACATTACATAATTCTTTAAAAAAGAAGGGCTTGAAAGGAATTATTTGGCAAAGAAAATCACTGTTTGTAGAGCTTCTGTCATAAATCATATCCTGAAAAACATCTGTTTATTGACATTCTTTCTTTTGTTTAAAGTACTATACAATTACTTCTTTAACAACAGACGAATGAAAAAATACATGTCAGCCTGATGGGTGTGATACTGGATTTCTTCATCAAAACTTTATATATAAATTAAAGATACGTTCTGACCACATAAAAGAAAACTAAATCAAAAGGCAATTAATCACATTCTACTGTTTTGGAAATGAATATCTTCTTGTGTAAAAGCGAGGACACTAAGTTCTCTTTCTGAGACAAGACACATAAACAGGATATGGTGTTTTTTATTTTCTCTTAAAAAGTCTTGGCTTAGTGAAGTAGTAATGTTAAAATGGATGACTATAATCTATGACAAACAGTTGACCTGATTAAAATGGAGGTATTGCCCATTTTTTTAAGATTTTATTTATTTGTTTGAGAGAATGAGAGAGAGCACAAGCAAGGGGAGAAGCAAAGGGAGAGGGAGAAGCAGGCTCCCAGCTGAGCAGGGAGCCCAATGCGGGGCTCCATCCCAGGACCCCGGGATCATGACCTGACCCGAAGGCAGACACCTAACAGACTGAGCTACCCAGGTGCCCCAGTATTGCCCATTTTTGAACATGCATTGCCTAGAGTATGGTGTCTATCTCAATCATTAATTAAGTATATACATATATTTAATATATATATAAATATATACATATATATTTTATATTTCATATATTATATATAAATATATTTATATAATATATTTATATATATTAAATATATGTATATATAAAACTATATAAGTATATATATGTTTATATATAATTATATATATATATATAAAACTTTCCTGACACCATTTTTGGCTCTTTATGAAACTGATAAGTATCTTTATTAGTTCCTAATTTTTCTAAATTTAATGTCATAAGAATAATTACCTCTTTTTTTTTAAAGATTCATTTATTTATTTGAGAGAGAGAGAGGGAGAGAACGAGCGAGAGGGGCAGAGAGAATCTCCAGCGGACCCCGTACTCAGCAGAGCCCAATCTCAGCCCAACCCTGAGATCATGACCTGAGCCAAAACCAAAAGCTGGGTGCTCAGCCGACTCTGCCACCCAGGACCCTGAACAATGACCTCTTGATTAACTATCAGCTTTGCAATATTATCTGTAATATCATAATAAAGGTAATACATCTATTGTACTTACTATGTAGTAGACACTATTTTAAAAACTTTACAATTTCTCAACTCACTTATTGCCTCCTACAAATTTGTAAGACAGGTAAACAATATTACCTTATTTTAGAGATGAGGAAACTAAGAGGGCAACTCACCTGGGGCATTACAAAGCAGAGATTAATAGGGCAGAATTTGCAAATCTGGGAGTCCAGTTCTAAATTCTATACTGCTAAGTATACTGCCTTTGAAAGGCAATGAAACATTTTTCATGAAAATGAAAATGGGGTTTTTAATTAAATGATTTTTCAAATTTTATATTTATGTAACACAAGAAATGACATTTCATTCAGCATTATTACACTTAAAGTAAAAGATACATAAGTGATTCTTCCAAAAAAATCAGAGAAATGTAATTAAACTTTAGAAAATATAAGGAGTTTCCCCATTGATTTTATATATTTACTTGAGTGATTTGGTATTTTATTATGATTCTATAAAGATCAAAAAACTCTCAGGAGAGATTAGATTATTGGATTGTAACTAATGTTCTAATCTGGAATTTTGTTGTCATCCGATTTTAGAGATGATTTTAAAGCTTGTCAACCCATCACCAGTGGAATCTCCATGTTGTCGACGGTTCCTTCAGGAAGTTGATGTAAGCTTTTCTTCAGAAAAATATGCATAATCACACACATGCAAAATTCTCCTCAGAAAAATCTATTTTATGGCATTGTAAATTGATTGCCCTTGAATAAACAACATCTTCAAATGCATCTGTTGATAGTTTGCTTTTTCTATTAAAAATTAATATTCAAAATAAATACATATTGTATAAGTAAGCCTTAATTCTTTTCACAACAGAATTTCAAAGAAAGAGTGATTATATTTAGTTTGAATAAAAATTGAAATTGTGTTATGATCTTTGACAAGTCTCTGTGCATAGCACTTTTGATCTAAAATTTCTTCCTATTATTTGATTTCTAATACACTAATGCTCCTTAATATAAGCAGTAAAGCTGGATGTATAAGTATGTATTAGTAGTGTTAGTAAAGTAAGTAGTAGATAATATTAAACTGCCTCTGATGTGCTTCCATTATCTTGTGATGAGGATTTTGCCATCCCCCTTTCCCAAGGGATAAAACAGAAACTTACATTAATAACTTGCAAGTGTCCACACAGTGCTAATTTACAAATTCTGGAGAACACCAGCACTTATACTTTTTGGGGGGCTTTGTTTTCTTTTGAGGAAGATACAAATAACAACTTTACTATCTGTTGTATGCCTGGCACCATGCTGGGGCTTCACATACATTATTTTAGGCTCAAGGTAATTCGCATTTTCACTCTCATGCATGTAAGAAAAATGAGCCTTTCACACGCAGAAACTTGCCCCAAATACAGCTGGTAAATTGTAGAACCTGGATCTGGCTTGGGAGAGACAGTCGTCTGTGGGCCTCTGTGCGTTTTGCTATACCACTTGCTGGATGTGCCAAGACTGTAAGCCCTGGACCATTCTTTTACCTGAGCCATTTCTTGGGGTTGTTTATGCAGCTGCTAGTTTTGAGAGATGAGATAACGTGTTCTTCTGGACAAAGAGGAGGCTTGCTTACCGCTTGCTATAAAGGCAGTGGATTCCCCAAACTCAGTGTTCCACAGCTGGGACACAGATACACAGTGTGTGTTACATCCATCAGGGCCTAATGCTGTGTTCCAGTGAAACTTGAGGGCAAGGGAGAAGTTAGGCAAATTCACTGATGCCCGTGTTGCTTGCTTGCAGTAAGTAATACCTTCCTTTATCTCTGACCCAGCGTTGTGTCTTCTGTCAGCATCCATAAAATAAGTAATAGGCTAATTTTATAAGTAGAGTAAAACCAAATCCCAACTTGGACCATCTAAGGGTCATGCAGCTGGCTCCAAAGCCCTCCCTTGAAAAGGACTTGATTTACAAGTTATCAGTATAATTCATGGATATCATTTAGAAGTTCAAACATTAGAGAAAGCATATAAAAAAACAGTTGTATTTTTGCCCTACCCATCTACCCCCAGTTCAGTTCTAGCTCCTCGGAAGCAGCCTCTCTTTAGACACTCGTCTAAGATTTGCAGTCATATTATCTCAATTGCTATTATATTATGCTTGATTTTTTAAGTTTGTGAAATTGTCTATTAATTTCTTACAAGGAAAAAATTTCTTTTATACCACACTCCATGTATTTAACTCTCCCTTAATACTCAAAATTTAGTTATATAAATATTTATGGTTAAATTAATATTCAGTGTTTACATGTTATGAATAAGTAATTACCGTTCGTGGTTAAGCATAGTAGTTTGCTATAATTATAACTCTCATGTAGCATTTTGTTTTTCCTAGTACGAATAATTGTCTCATTTTAATAGTCAACAAATTCCCTATCAGACCTACAAATTCAACAGACTCCCTAACAGAACTACAAAGTCCCTCTCGATGGTCAATACAGCAGGTAATCTATCAATTCCTTGTTTTTCATGGAAACTTCGGTTTTTTTCTGTTCTTTCTTTCTGGTCACATATTAAGTCTTTGTATTGATGTCCTGATTTTCACATTCTTTCTCCTCTATTCCTTTGTATCTTGATTTTACTTGGGAGATGTCTTCACTTCATCTTCCAAATATTCTACTGATTCTTTTTTTCACTTTGGTTTACTATTTGCTCCTGTTATGGCCTGAATGATTCCTTTTATTCCTTTCTTATTTCATGCATGCAGTTGTCTCATCTGTCCAGAGATTTTTTTTTTTAATTCTCTGCATTTTCTCTTACGGCAATGCTTTTCTCTTTCTTTAATTTTCTCCTCTATTCTCTTCATTTCCTCTGTGTGTTTCTTTTGGCCTCTGCTTCTTTTTTCTTTTTTTTTTTAAGATTTTATTTATTCATTTGAGAAAGACAGAGAGACAGAGAGAGTACAAGCAGGGGGAGAGGGAGAGGGAGAGGGAGAAGCAGACGCCCCGCTAAGCTGGAAGCCCAACATGGGGCTCGACCCCAGGGTCCTGAGACCATGACCCGAGCCGAAGGTGGACGCTTAACCATCTGAGCCACCCAGGCATCCCATGGCCTTTGCTTTGCTTCTTTTTTGATTGTTAATATTATAGAATACTCTCAAATGTCTGTTTTTATTTAAGAATGAGGCAAGAAAAATCATTTGGAACTCAGTTAGTAGCAGATGGTTCATTGAGTAATAGTCTTAACAGTAGGATAATAACATGGCTGTGCAGATTTTTCCTTGGTGGTTCCCCAATTGTCAGTATGTGTAGATATTTTCCCGGAGGTATATTCTTCTGACTGCTACCGCTCAGTGGAAGAAGTTTAGGACTGGCTTTCAGTATTTTAGGGAGAACAAAGGTTTCACCATACAGTGTGCAAACCTCATGTAATCTCCATTTTCTCGGTATAAGGTCACATGACAGATGCCAGCTATGCCTGGAGTCTCTACTCCTGAAGCTCTTGGCACAACCTCTCCCAGATTTTCTGACCTCATTCTGCTCATTTCAGATGGCAAAAAGGTAGTTCCTAATCTGAAGGACATGGACAAGAAAATCAGGAATAGAAAGCTTAGTCTTCTTTCTGCAAGTTTTAAATCAATTCTTGTCCTTTTTTTCTAGCTCCCACTTTCTGAAGTCCTAGCTGTCTTAAATTTCTAAAAGCTCGAGGATATTATTTTCTTCTTTTTGGGTTCCACCACTGTAGCTTAGATTTCAGTTGCGCCTGTTAAGTCACTTTTCACAGTGCATTCATTTTTTAGCGTCCTAAAATACGTCATCATCGCTCATCTGTCACTGTCTTCTTTCCCATCACTTTCATCCTCTGGTGTGCTAATGCCATTTTTATTCCTTACTCGGTTTATTTCTTTGTTTTAGGAGGCTTAAGAAGGAAGTACAGATAAATGGGTAAGTTCAACAGGGCAGGTTGGCCAGGACAGTCTTTAAACAAGCAGGAAAGCCAGGTCTCTCATGAGATATCACAGATGTTCCATTTGTAAACTGAGTGAGAGATTTTTCTTTTCTAGCATAACTTTTGTTAACAAAGAAACTGTTTGCCATTTGAAGATTTTAAAGTCTGTGAGATTTCTAAAAACAACTCACAAAAAATGAATTTAGTCTGATTAAGCGAGTCTGGCTATTACAAACAAAAACTAGGAGCTGAGAGACATCATCTGTTTCGTCTGAACTCATACTGAAAGACAAAAGATGCAATTCAGAATCATTTCATAACTTTTCTCAAAAAAATTGCAAGATACGTAAGCAATTCATAATGCATGGCACCATTTTCCAATTCCAATAAGACTTGATATAAACAATGAAATATCATTAATCTACCCATAAACTAAATAAAGAAAATAATTATGGAAGTTTTAAGATAATAATTTTATTTTAAAATATTTTTCATGTGTGACACAAATCATCAAATATATCCTTTCAAATTGTTATTTATTGATTTTACACCTGTTTGATATTTAATAAACAGACAAAGTTGAAAGGGCCCTAAAGTTCAACAGTCAAGAAATTTTAATATTAGTGTTTATATGTTGGTATTAATTATTGTTATGTTTTGGTATTAGTTTTTAAAAGCTACATAGTCTTCTTAGAAATGCATTATAAATAACTGAAATGTAAATAAGATCTTTTCTAAAGAATGACCAGAGAAACCCAAGGAGATCAAAAAAATACAAATACCTGAAAAATAATTTATGAAAAATGAATCCCAGACAAGTAAATAAAAATATTTCTTCACTGACAAATATTTAAAGAAAGTATGCATTCATAAAAATATAATCACAGTGTATGAATCAGCTATCATTCAATTTGCCTTTAAACTGCCCACCAATTTGGCTGATATTAAGAGGCTGAACCATTTGTTTAAAAAAGTGGATATTTAAGAATTACTCATACAGTTCCTAGATCTGGAATTTGGGTCTATTATTGGTGATCAGACATATTTGGGAAGTGGTATATTAGAGGAACTCAAGTGGAGCAATGATAACACTTACTCAAAAATCTCAAAACACTCATTAAAAAAAAAACAAAACAACAGAGTATTTCACTGAAATCAGGGATTTGTCTATGACTCACCTTATTGAATAAAGAACATTTCCATTCTTGAAAATTCTTAACAGTTTATTGTCTGTAGTAACTTCATGAAAGTTGGCACCCTTTTCATTGGCAAAGAACAAATCAGGTTTCCAAATGGAGTCCAACATGGAAGGGTCTAGGTCTAAAGAGTCATCAGGATATTCACTATATGCAAGGCGAGGATCATTCCATTTCTGACGGAGAAAGATATTCACTCTGTAATCCTATGATAAAAGAAAGAAAAGAAAAAAAAAATCTGCTTTAAAAGTTTAGAATCCTATGTGCTATTCTTTGGGCACCTCTGAATTTTAGCAAAAGCCACTGACATCCTTGTGAGCTTTCCATACCCCACAATCCTCACTCATTACTATTGGCAAAAGTCATTTTAGTTACAAGGCTTTGCTCATGTTTTTATTCATCTCTATGTCTTTAAAGAAAAGGTCACAGAAGAGTACAATTTTATTCTGCTTATATTTTGCCATTCCGTTCAAATTTCACTCTCCCGGTTTGTCAGAATAAAATGTTGGATTGCTATCAGACACTTGAAATAAAATATTTTCAGCTTTGCATTTATTTTCTAAAACCATTTCTTTTAGTAGATATCCAATAGCATCCAGAATGCATTTAGTGAAATTTTCTTGAAAGCTGTTTTATAAAAGTGATTATATATGCTTCTTTACAATGAAGACACATTTCCTCATGTTTAATATAGCATATAAGTTCCATGAAACAAGTGCTTTGGGAAAAATAAAAGGTGATTTTGAAGTAATGAAAGAATAATAAAGTAACATTATTGCCAGTAATTCTTTAAGAAGATTTGGCTGAAGAGTTTTCCCGATTAGACTATTCATAGTTGGCTTAAAAAGGGGAAGAGTCAAAGATTTCAATCAAATTCTTGCTCACAATTTCTGGACTAATGTACAGAATGACATAGATTCATAGCCAGGTGTATGTGTGGGTTTTGTACACAAGTAGGTGAGCATAAGCACTACCTATGACTTTGTAATTTTCCCCTTAGATTTTTGAAGTAAGTGAATAAATTAAACATGCAGTCTTCGTTATAAGCGTGAGTAAAGTGAACATTTTAGGAAGATTTTATTTCCATGGAAAATAGCCAAGGCTGGAGATATTCAGAGAAACTGAACACCAGTTTTCATCAATTTTTTTATTCCTTGAAAACCAAATTACCAGTTAACAGAATATAATAGCCAAGCAATCACAAAGAATGTCTCCATAATATCAGGCCTGGTAGATTGCTTCTTTTGCAGGGTGGTCAAATTCAGAGTAGTGAACGTTGCAAATATTTATGTTCCCTGGATTATTATCTGTGCACTGAGACCCTTATCTTCTAACTGTAACTGAGGTTACATACCAGATAATATTTTTTTCTGCTTGCTAGGTGCCCCATGTATCTTCCAAAGTGACAATGGAACAGAGTTCACTTCAGCTTTTTACCACAAAGTTCACGATAATGTGGAAATCTCACCAGCCACAAGGATCTGCAGAACCTGTAAATGCGGATATATGAACAAGCTTCTCCCAGCCAAAGACAGGTCATCCTCTCTTAGCCTAGAGTTCAGAATGCCAAGAAGCATAGCTCCCTGGTCGATGGCCAGTTCTTGCATCCCTAATTACTCTGTAGTCTGTGCCTCAACCCTAATTACCGCCAAAGGAATAGGTGATCGGACTGAAGTCAGTTTCTCTCTGCCTTAACTATAGGACAAAATGAAAGCAACTCCAGTTATAATGATACCAGCCAGGAAAAATAACTGACAAGTAAGGAATTTCCTTTGGACCCATTCTTAAGATTTTTTATATATATACAATTTTATATAATTGAGACAGTCTGCAAGTGTTCCCCACTGTGAGGCTAAAATAAAAGTACGTTTAAGCTACAGTATATGTAATAAAATTTGGTTGAGTCTCCTGATTCTATGCTCTTGGTTTAATGATAATTTTATAGACATAATCTTGGATCTTCCAGGAACACTTTTTTTTTTTTTGCTACAGGAATGAGCTAAAAAACAAAACACAACAGAACAAAAAAACCCACAAAAACAAAAACCACCCAGGTATCCTTCAGTTTCTGTTTCTAAATTACACAAGGCAGAAATCAACTGTCACCTGTCACCGAGGCCAAATGTTATCCTATATCCATTGTGCTCTTTCTGTGAATAACCAGAAATATCTTTGTTTACAAACACATTTAGGTCTTCGGTTTAGGGCCAGGATCCAAAGCAAAACTCAAAAATGACCATCTCCTGAAAGCCTAGAAACTGAGGTTTTAACAGTTCTCGCAGTTTGGGTTTTAACCTGCCTGCAAATGAACATTGTTCTGCGAAGCTTCCCTATTAAACAACCAAATTCAGCATTTTGAAAATAAATTTTTAAAGCTTATTCCTCATAGCCAGTGTATCCCACTTATACTGGGCAACTAATATTATTTGTGCATCCTGATCATTTGTGAAAATGTGCAAAGAGTAAATAAAATGACATAGTCAAATAATGCCACCTAAAAGAAGTCCTTGTAACTTGATTTGCAATAGCTTGCCTATACTAAATGACCGTGAACTAAAGCAGGAAACAATTTTGCAAAATAGAGATAATGGATGTGTATGCAGCACATGCAAAAAATTTTAAAATAGACTTACTAAAGTTGGTTTAAAATGCAATCATTCCTGACTATATGTAAAATAAAGACTAATTGTTTTATTAATGGAATTCTCCCTATTCACCTGGGCTATGCCCTATGAGGGTGAAAATGTAGAAAGGTTATATGTGAGTAAAAAGAAAAAGACAATAATAAATATGAGATAATATATTTGAAAATGAAATAAATATTTATATTTCACATTTCTGAAAATCTAGACATGTATTGAATTCATTCTTAAGTCTTATAAGGCACCTAAATTGACTTTTATGTGGAATCATAAAATTTTAGGACAAAGACATTTAATGATTCTTTCCTCTACAAACTCCTACAGTAAAACCTTCAGAAGTTAATCTTATTTTTCATCATTTTTTCATGTTACATGATAAATAATATTTATTATATGTTATACCATATTAGTATCAGCCTTATCTACCGCCAAAGGAATAGGTGATCAGACTGAAGTCAGTTTCTCTCTGCCTTAATTATAGGAGAAGATGAAAGCAACTCCAGTTATAATGATGTTTGTCAGGAAAAATAACTGGAAAGTTATATGTTAACTATATGTTATATAGTTATATGTATATGTTATACTATATTAGTATATTATTAATATTGTACAGTAACAGTGATGAAATATAGTTCTTATTTCATAATATAAAAAGACTAATTTTGACATTTCAGAAGTCAAAATTTCTTATTATTAGAAGAGAAGGATACACTTTATTCTAATTAGTTTAATTTTTTAAGAAAATATTTTGCTGACAAAAGTAAAATTATATTTCATGTTTGGTTTTGAAATAAGTATCCATTAAAATGTAGTTTAAATTGCATCTGTATGTCACATAGTAAATAATAGAACTTATATTTGAAATCTTACGTTATGAGGTACAAAAAATAATAATTCCATTAGGCAAATTGTATAATGGTTTATATACTAGACTCAGGAAGTAAGTTTTCTTAGGATGGAATCTCAACTCTCCCAGTGAGATAGCTTTCTAATCTCCCCGTGTCTTGTTTTTTCTTCTGTAAAATAGAGAGAGTTACAATAGTACTTCCTCTCAGACAGGTGCTTTGAGCATTGGCTTGATCCACACAGAGTACTTAGAACCGCACTCATTAAATACTAGCTTTTAGAGCCTCAAAACTAAAATTCACATTAAGTACAAATTTGGTTGTTTTTTCTCCTTATAAATTAGTTTTTGAAATAATAGGGGCATTTTGATATGCCATATAAGAATTTGGGGCAGATAATTATAATGTTGAACCTGGTGAATATTATCTTATGGAAAATTTTCAAACCAGTGTGATAAGCTTATCATTAACTTTTTGTATTAACTTTTGCGTTTCAACTTAATATATTTTGTATTTCCTGTCTTTATTTAATTGCCCCTCCTCCCCTTCTCTCTATATAATTGGTTTGTGTTCCAAGGCCCTTTTCCATAATGGGAAATATCACTTCACTTTGTGCCAGATGTTTTACTAGTTGCTTCGTGGATTACTCCTGCCATCCTCATAGAAAATCTATGAGGTAGGTATTATTATTTGCCCAATTTTACAGATGTGGACTATGGGACAAAGATAGGCCAAGTAACTTCAACATGATTACAGAGCTAATAGGTGGCAGAGTTGTAATCCAGACCCCTACATTCTGGTTTCAGAGCTTTAAAGGATACATTGCCTTGTATGCAAAACAACTGTTTTCTAAACTAATGCAAAGATTCTGGGTTTATGTGGTTTATGTTTGTGGTTTCTTGTTGTTGTTGTTTGTTTTGTTTCCTTTTTGATTTTTGTAAGGAATTTGGGGGTTTGCTGATCAACATCTTTACTGATAGGAAACTACACGCCCTATAACGAAATGTTATTCAGTTAAATCTAATAGATGCCAGGTTGTCATTTTTCCAAAATAGGTACCCTGGGGAAAGACCAAACTCAGTAAAAATCACAACCCAGTGTAGCACCTAAAATAACATAGAATACAATATTCATCTTTGGCTGTATAGGGGAGTATAGGATTGCTAGAAACTAACTAAAATGACCAATTAGAAAAAATGTAAGGAAAATAATCATCAAATGTTAACAAAAGTTGTTAAGTGCTTCTCTTCCCTCTGGTCTACAGTTCGGGTAAGTCTGAAGTTCCCTAGTGCTTTCAGGTCATTTCCAATTCAGCAGACTTCTCTCACTTCTTCCTTTTCTCCCTGCCTTCTCACTTATTTCTGCCCTCCTTGCTTCTCTGTTTCTTTCTATCTCTGTGTCTGTCTTCCTCTTTCCTCCTCCACCACTCCCCCATACACGTACACACGCACTGCTTCTGCAGGACTAGGCACCACATTTCTATACTGGTGATGTGTGCAAGTGGTTTTCTGTTGCATCCTTATAGAGCAAAGGAAACAGGTCTTTACAACACTTTCACTATTAATACCTTGATGTCTTTGTTTTTTTCTTTTCTTTATCCTACACATTTTCATGTAGTTGAAATTATATTGGACAAGTGTTTTTGCATCTTTCATTTTCACTTAATGAATTTTATGCATTTTTTGTATTCTTAATCATTATTCCAATAGTTATATGATA